CAGTTCCGTTTCTACAGAATGGAAACTGAATTCATGAAACAGAGTTGTTACAAGTGACATATCAAAACAAAACTAGCTTGTTCACACATCTAAAATGAAGGCATTAAACAAAATGGATGCCAGTTAATAAGACATTTTTCTTTTCATGGTGATGCAAGCACGATGCACATATGCAACACATTTCTAAAACACGCAGCAAAGTGCGCATTTTCTGTGCATTTTACCTTGCGTTCAGAAATACTCAAATGTAAATGTGGCCCAGTTGTTGATACCTGAATTGTAGTTACAGTAGCATGCTACTATTGCAACGCAACTGTGATGTGTGTTTGCAGTGAAATTCTGAATTGTACGGCAAAGGTTGCGTTTTTGCATGGGGGTTCAGAAATGTGCAGATATGAATGCATGGCAGCACATGCATGATGTGCATTTCTGAATTGTGCGACAAACTGCACCACAAGGTTCACGTTTTCTGTGCGGGTTGCCATGCAATCAGAAATGCACAGGTGTTAATGCAGCCTAATTGTTAATGACACCCCACATTACTAACGTATGTCATTATGGGAATGCAAGTGTGGTGTTGCAGTGTTTTTTCCAAAAACATTTTGTGCACGTTCAAAAACTTGCAGTTGTGAATGCATGTTTCTGAAATGTGCAGCAAAGATTGCGGTTTCCATTACAGTTGCCGTGCATTCAGAAATGCCCAGATGTGAATGCAGCGTAATTGTTGTTGACACTCCAATTAAGGTTACCAAACTTGTGCTTTGCAGAGCATTTGTTGCATGACAAAATGCGCTACAAAAGTGCCAAAATGCACAGTAAAAAAAAATTGCTACACTTCACGTCTGAAAAGGTTCTTGAGCTACTTTGGGGCGTTTGTTGCGTATAGTCAAGTGAATGGGCGGCCCTGTGCACGACACATAAATGTGAGCTGGAATGTGCGTATCCGCTACACACAGGTGTGAATGGAATGTGCTTGGGAAGAGAGTTTTTAGGCAGCACTGATGAGTGCCGTGCAACCCTGGATGGTCCAGATGGATAGAGTAGTGGATGGTTGGTGGACGGCCACCCTGTTCCAACAAGGCTGCGACGTCAGCAAGGCGGTGGTGGAGTCATGTTTTGGGCCGGAATCATGGGAACAGAGCTGGTCAGCCCCTTTAGGGGCCCCGAAGGTGTAAAGATGACCTCTGCAAAGTATGTGGAGTTTATGACTGACCACTTTCTTCCCAGGTACAGAATGAAGAACTATGCTTTCCATAATAAAATCATCTTCATGCATGACAATGCACCATCTCATGCTGCAAATAATACCTCTGCATCAATGGCTGTTATGGGGATAATAGGAGAGAAAGTCATGGTGTGGTCTCCATCCTCCCCTGACCTCAATCCTATTGAGAACCTTTGGAGCATCCTCGAGCAAAAGATCTATGAGGGTGGGAGGCAGTTTACATCCAAACAGCAGCTCTGGGAGGCTATTCTGACATCTTGCAAACAAATTCAAGCAGAAACTGTCCAAAAAAACTCACAAGTTCAATGGACGCAAGACTTGTGAAGCTGCTATCAAATAAGTGGTCCTATGTTAAAATGTAATGTGACCTGTTAAAATGTTTAAAAAGTTAAAATGTTGTTAAAAGTTAGATTGAAATAGCTTTTGATTTCAGTAAATATGCTGCAAACACAACAAATGACAATTTTCAGTTCTTTACAACCTATCAAGTGTTTTGAAACTTACTGTACGTAATCATTTGGAACAGTGCATTGTAAGTTTTTTATGTTTAAAAAAAAAATACTGTTATCGTTAGGAGGTTTGTTCAATAAAAATTTTAATTGTACTCTTAATAGTTGATAACATGAGATTAATGCGGACTGTTATTTACATCAATTATTTATGTAAATTAGAAATATATAATTTGCATAATAATTTGGAACACAGTGTATTTTGCTAGATTTATTTTATTTGGGCCAACAGGCTCAAGCTTCAGTAAACTAATAAACAGTAATCTACAAAAATGCTTTGGTAAATTAGTCCACTATGAAAGCATAATCAGGAGGGTTTTGTATTCTTTACTCCATCACTTTAAATTCCAATCTACATCTACAATTACCCCCTCTCGACCCCTTTCCAGGATGAGTCTCCACAAAGTGTAAAGCTGTTAAAGTAGAAACTTATAGGCAACACTTTTTTTTTCATTTTGGAGTAAGAGAGGTTATAACTAGAGATGAGCGAAGTATTCAAAAAATTCGATTCGGCTGATTCAGCGAATTCGCGGATGAGAGTCTGCTCTAGGGAAGAGAAATAATTACTGTCAGTCAGTATGACAGGCAGATGGAGATGCCTGTCGATCTATTAGAATCACTGCACACTTACACGCGGATCATTTGGGCAGGTCACGGGGGCCCAAAACCCTAGAGTTGAGCCACAGTGTGCGCGTGACGGCAGCTAAGCAATGGGAGGCCAATCACAAGCACCCTATGACAAATGGAACCCACCAGCAGAGTGCTGAGGAGACCTGAAAGTGGCACATGGGCAGAGCGTGTGTGCGAACGCCCTCATGGAGACAGCAGCAATGTGAGCCGTACAGGGAACCCATGACAGATTACGGGCCCTGGCAGCAGCATGTCGAGGCGGTTACAGGGGCCCATGGACAGATTACGGGCCTGGCAGCAGCAATGGAAGGCCATGTAATCATGCCTGCACCCCCCCTATGACAAAATGAGAACCTCACCAGCAGTGTGAGGAGAACTGAAAGTGGCACATGGTACAGGAGTGTGGCCATGAGAGACAGCAGCAATGGGACGGCCGTTGACAGCTGGAACCCAGAGACCACAACTATGGGACCTGGCGGAGCAGATGAGGAGGCGGTGAACAGATGGCCCATGAATCAGATTACGGGCCACGGGGCAAGCAGCATGAGGCGAGCACGGTAACGTGCGGAGACAGCAGCCATTGGCAGCATTAAAAAATGGAACCCAGCAATAGAGCAGTGTGACGGGGACCCATGGCAGATATACGGGCCTGGCACAAGGCAGGCCCGTGAGGTCTGCCAGCACCCTATGATGGAGACCAGCAGCAATGGGAGGAGACCTGTACAGTGACCCATGAGACAGACTCTGGCGACCTGGAGACAGGCAAGCAATGGGAGGCCGTAACAGGGGCCCATGACAGATTACGGGCCTAGGCAGCAGCCATGAGGAAACGGTACGGGGGACCCATGGCAGATTACGGGCCTGGCCAGCAGCAATGGAGCCCGTAATCAGCACCCTATGACAAAATTGGAACCCACCAGCACATTGTGAGGAGACACCTGAAAGTGGCACGGCACATGGCAGGCAGAGTGGACTGGCGATGGAGACAGCAGCAATGGGAGGGCCCGTACAGGGACCCATGATGAGACTCTGGACCTGGCAGCAGCATGAGGAACGCGTACAGGGCCCATGACAGATTACGGGCCTGGCAGCAGCATGAGTGAGTCGGTACGGGGGCCCATGGCAATTACGGGCCTGGCAGCAGCAATGGGAGGCCCGTAATCTGCCAGCACCCTATGACAAAATGGAACCCACCAGCAGTGTGAGGAGACCTGAAAGTGGCACCTGGCAGAGTGTGGCGATGGAGACAGCAGCAATGGGGAGGCCGTACAGGGACCCATGAGACACTCTGGACCTGGCAGCAGCATGAGGAGGCGGTACGGGGGCCCATGGCAGATTACGGCCCTGGCAGCAGCAAATGGGAGCCCGTAATCTGCCAGCACCCTATGACAAAATGGAACCCACCAGCAGTGTGAGGAGACCTGAAAAGTGGCACATGGCAGAGTGTGGCGATGGAGACAGCTAGCAGCATGGCATAGGCCGTACAGGGACCCATGAGACACTCTGGACCTGCAGCAGCATGAGGAGGCGGTACAGGGGCCCATGACAGATTACGGGCCTGGCAGCAGCATGAGGGAAGTAGGTAGGGTGGCCAATGGCATATTACCGGGCCTGGGCTAGCAGCAATGGGCGGCCCCGTAATTTGCCAGCACCCTATGACAAAATCTGGACCCACCAGCAGTGTGAGAGACCTGAGAGTGGCACATGGGGCCCATGACGAAGTGTGGCGATGGCCTGACCAGCAAGCAATGCGGAGAGACTGTGACAGTGGCCCATGCAGAGATTACCTCGGACCTGGCAGCAGCGATGAGTTGTAGCGTGTTACAGGGGACCCATGGCAGATCTGTTGAGGACCTGGCGAGCAGCAATGGGGAGGGCCGTAATCTGCCAAGCACCCTATGACCCAAAATGGTAAACCCCACCAGCAGAAAATGAGGAGACGAAAGTGGAACCCGAATTGACCAGACTCTGGTGACCTGGCACAGCAGCATGAGGAGGCGCGGTACAGGGGGCCCATGACAGATTAACGGGCCTTCGGCAGCAGCATGAGGAGTCGTTAAGCGGGGCCCCCATGGCAGATTACGGGCCTGGCAGCAGCAATGGGAGGCCCGTAATCTGCCAGCACCCTATGACAAAATGGAACCCACCATGCAGTGTGAGGAGACCTGAAAGTGGCACATGGCAGAGTGTGGCGATGGAGACAGCAGCAATGGGAGGGGGGGGGACCCGTACTGGGACCCATGAGACACTCTGGACCTGGCAGCAGCATGAGGAGGGCGGTACGGGGGGGCCCATGGCAGATTACGGGCCTGGCAGCAGCATGGGAGGCCCGTAATCTGCCAGCACCCTATTACAAAAATTGGAACCCACCAGCAGTGGTAGAAGGAGACCTGAAAGTGGCACATGGCAGAGTGTGGCGGGATGGAGGGGGGACAGCAGCAATGGGAGGGCTCGTACAGGGACCCATTACCACACTCTGGACCATGGCTGGCAGCATGAGGAGGGCGGTATCTAAAGGGGGCCCATGACAGATTACGGGCCTGGCAGAGCAGCATGCAATGAGTCGGTACGGGGGCCCATGGCAGATTACGGGCCTGGGCAGCAGCAATGGGAGGCCGTAATCTGCCAGCACCCTATGACAAAATGGAACCCACCAGCAGTGTGAGGAGACCTGCAAAGTGGCACATGGAGAGTGTGGCGTGGAGACAGCAGCAATGGGAGGCCGTAAGGGGGACCCATGAGACCCATCTGGACCTGGCAGCAGCATGATGGAGGCGGTTACGGGGGCCCATGGCAGACAAGATTACGGCCTGGCAGCAGCAATGGGAGGCCCGTAAGTCTGCCAGCACCCTATGACAAAATGGAACCCACCAGCAGGGTGAGTAGACCCTGAAAGTAAAAAAAAAAAAAAAAAAATTGGCAACATAGGCAGGAGTAATTTGTTGGCGATGGGAGGACAGCAGCAATGGGAGGCCGTACAGTGACCCATGACAGACTGGACCTCGGCGCTGCAGCTTGAGGAGGCAGGTGGTACAGGGGCCATCGGAACAGATTACGGCCTGGCTGCAGCATGAGGGATAGTCGGGTACGGTGGGGGCCCATGGCAGATTACGGGCCTGCAGCAGCAAATGGAGAGGCCCGTAATCTGACAGCACCACAATGACCATATGGCACCCATCCAGCAGTGTGAGGAGAACCTGAAAGTGGCAACATGGCCAGAGTGTGTCGATGGAGGACAGCAGCAATGGGAGGCCGTACAGGGACCCATGAGACACTCAGGACATGAGCAGACTGAGCAAGAGGAGGGGGGCGGTACCGGGGGCCCCATGGACAGAGTGGCGAAAGCGTAAGCAAGCATTAAATTTGGACGGCCATACAAGAGGCCTATGGATTAAAAATGAATATACATGTTTTTGGGCATGATTCAATGGCGGATTTTAGTCAGCTTTGTGTCAGGAACTGGTGGTTTTGGAAATTCCAGACTAACTAATCCACGGCCTGATTCAGTTTCACAAATGTGAGTCCTTCCTCTTCTCTCCACACTTTGGGGTGGATATTCCCGTGTCCCCCGCGGGGGGGGGAGGTTGTTTTACACAATACTTCCTGCCGCACTAAAAAACAAACCCTCTCCGAATCGCCATAAACCTACTAGGGCCGGGCATGACAGCCTTTCAAGGGTCTTTTTCAGCTAGTTGGGCCTAAGGTCAAGTTACGCCTCTTTGCCCAGTAGTCATGGGTTGTCTACCTAGGTTGGCAGGGGTGTGTCCAAGTAGGCACGAGCCCTTGTGTTTGAGGGCCTGCTCAAGGTCAACTGATGTGCTGCTGCTGCGGCTGGTTAGTAGTTTCCTCACTGCGCTGGTGAAGAATGCTACTCAACATCGACTGCAGATGAGCAGCCGCTGCTGGTGGAGGAGT